CTTTTAATATTTAGTTTAATCAAATAGTAAGATTTTATTGATTAATCTAAAATTCTTTCAATTAGTAAATATTAATCAAAGATTTGAATCATTGAAGCTTAATAATTCACAAGAACATATTAATTGAAATAACTATTTATAATTAAAATCTAATATCTTTTTAATTCAATTTTATCATAAAAAATTTACATACGTAAGAATCAAATCGTAAGACTTGAATCGATTAAGCTCAACTCCGTTCAATATGTAAATATGTTTCAAAGATTTGAATCGATTTAGTTCAACCATTGACAATAACGTATTAATGAGCTAACTATTTATAATTAAAGTCAAATATCCTTTCAATTCAATTTTAGTAAAAATAAAAATAAAATTAATTCAAAAAAATTGTAAGAATCAAATCGTAAATCGTAAGATTTAATCTAACCATAATATTTGAATCTATTAAATCTTACGATTTTTACAAATTAAATTTTATTATTTTTATGATAAAATTCAATAAAAAAAAATACTAAACTTTAACTATACATAGTTACTTCAATTAATATGTCAATTGTTGAGTTGAACCGATTCAAATATCTGAATATTGTCTACGAATTGAAATGACTTGAATTGTTTCAAATATTTGAATATTGTTTTCGAATTAAAAACACATGAGCTTACCTGATTCAAATCTTCTGATTTACGATTTACAATTCAATTGAAACTTCAAATTCTTTTGAGATTCATTTTTAAATTACATGAGTTGATTCACATTTCCTTAGATTTTTTAACTTTATTATATATATTTGGTAATATTGGATTTTTACTATATAATAATAGTTTTATGAGAATTATGAGTTTATTTAATATACTTATATAAGTTAAAATTATTATACATTGTACAGTTGTGTTGTGATATAGATGTGTATTGTTAGAAATTTTTTAGTAATGTGTTGTGTTTCAATGGTAAGTATTCTTGCATCCTTGAAGGTGTTATGAGTTTAAATTCTCTAGGATACATTTTTCGGAGGGGGTTGGTTTAATGATTTTTACGAATAATAATATAATTGACTTTACAAATTCAACTATAAATAGATTTAAAATTTATAAAAATACAAGGGGTATAAAAGAAATTTCGCATAAAATTTATTATTTATGTTTTTAAATATTAAATATTTGTAATAAGGGTGTTTTAGACAATACACAAATCATTAGAAAAATCAATTGTGTTGGTGGGACACGTGGCACGATTTGTGAGGCATATCTCATATAAGTTGTGTTGTTGGGAACTCACCCTAGACAAACCCTAATGTATATACGAAACTCTTATCCCACTAACTTAATTTTTTTTTCCCTTAAATTATAAAGGTTTTTAATCTGATTTTTCAAAATTGATGGAAACTTTGGTTACGTGTGTTATGGGTGGTTACAATTAGACATGAACTTTAATGTATATACAAAAAATTTTATCCCACTAACTAATTTTTTTCTTTTTTAATTATAAAGGTTAATTCATCGAAACTTTGATTTCTTAAAACATAATTTTTTTCATATGTTAGAATGCATTCTTTAGGCATATGATGATAACTCCTGCAAAATTTATTTATAAAATTCTTAGTGACTATGAAAGATGAATTTGTGGTGTTAATATATAATATTAATGAAATTAAATATATTATAATCAGATTATATTACATTAGGTAACATCTGAGTTTATTTGCCTATATATAAATATGCATATAATTTTTGTAAAAAAACTTTCGAAATTTTATCTAA